TTCGACGCCAGTCGTGTTTCTTTCTTATTTTTTTTTTTTTTTTAAATATTTGGAATATTTATAAGAAGAGATAAGAGATAAGATCTCGTGTATCTCGAGAATTCGACTGTCGTCGATGGATGGATGGGATTTTTGTATAAATTTCGTCGAGATAAGCGTTGCGAATGGATAAAATAATATTCGTGCAATGATATCCAAGAGTGGAATCCTTTGGAGGAGGATATTCGAGGAAACGGCATTTGTATTTTATATTTTTATATAGTTTGTAGAACTCGTCAGCGTCGACTTTGCAGAATATTTAGCGGTCTGCATCTGTGATCGAACGCCTAGTCTTCACGGATGAAAATATTTTTCACGAATTATCATATTGTTTCGATGTTGCGATGTAAAGAGATCACGCATATTTGGAACGAAGAAGGAGTGTTTCTTCGTTCGTTACAAGAGTTTTCGTTACGAATTGAATTCTAATCGAATCGTTCTGATATTTTTCTAAAAATGTATCCATATATCGTGTTGTGTAAAACTAGTAGATTTAACGAATTCTAATTAATTCTATAATTGATTAAGACGCCCGACGTCAGGGATATTAAATTGTCGACATATCAAATGTTCGCCTATGTTCCGCGAAATTCAACAAAATTTCAGTTTCAAAACGTTTCAACGAGTCAGTTCAATATTTTTTTCCGTGCAGTCTATCGGCAGGATTTTTCTTACATCTTTAATCGTTTTATCATCCCGTGAGTCATATCCCTGCCATATCCAATATTCTAACGAAGAGTGCTGAATTCTCTGATCTGTCATAGATAATAGAGAATCGTGTACTTAAAAATTAATCAAAACCAGCGAAAGAGAAAATTAATTATCATTGAATTTACGTGGACAATGATACATCTTTCCTAGCACACGACTTAAAAATATTTCCAAGCCTCGATGCTTTCGTTAGGATAACGATGATATTAAAATAGAGACATATCCCTTAAAGATTAATCCCGTAGAATTTCGTACGATTTTTCACATTACTGTCTACAATAATGAAGAATACGGAGAGCGCAGCACCTTCGAATCTCATACCTATCTAAAAATATATCTTGTAATGCTCAAGGGCTTGGACGCAGTATTGAATAATAATAAAAAAAAAAAAAACTTTACAATTAAGTTAACACAGGTGCAATGCTCGTGAAACGAGTGCACGTAGGATAAGAATTTAAAAAACGAAGAAAAAGAAAAACCGGGATTCTATATATGAATATATATATAAATATATATACATACATATTATAAATTGTACAGAATGATTATTCGACCATCGTAAGACTATCTCGTTTCTCTTTAGTGTACTGCGCCGAACAATATATATATATGTAAACTTTTTGAAAAAAATCATTTAGCGGAACTGGATAAGGAATAGAGGATAAATTCTTTGAAACAACTATAAAAGTAATAACGGTAAAACCTACTTCTTTCCTCAATTATCAAAGATATCCTTTCTTTCGACTAGTTAATAGCTAAGCGAATTAAACACACAGATACGCAACGAGCGAGACGACGTAAAAACAAAAAAAAATAAAAATAAAATCTGCACTGTGCACTTTCGTGAATTGAAGGTATTATCGTAATCCTTAGATATAGCGATCAGCCAAAAGTCAGATTAGAATTCGTATTAATGCACGCATAACTATATAATTATAATTTCGAGAAAAGTCGTAATTGATGATGCAGGCCGTGGTGTGATATAATCGGAAATAAAATCGGATTTTAAAAAAA